GCCAAACTCCAGATAGGCAAATGTTTTTTGTCAATGGCCGTCCCTGTGGGCTACCTCAGTTTGCCAAGGTTTTCAATGAGGTGTACAGATCTTATAATGCATCTCAGTCACCTTTTATTTTTGCTGATATCCAGCTCGATACCCATCTCTACGACGTCAACGTTAGCCCAGACAAGCGGACCATTCTGCTCCATGAGCAAACTCGGATGTTGGACAACCTTAGAGAGTCACTCAGCGCCTTGTTTGAATCGCAGGACTATGCACTACCGACCGCACAACTCCAAGCACCAAAGCAATCTCTTCTTAAACGACCCACTCCAACTAGACAAGACTCACCCTCATCGGAATCAAGCACGAGGCGCTTAGCCTCGATAGGTGTTGAACCCTCTAGAGACTTAATTACTACAGATACAGAATCAAGAGTGATAGGCGAGAGTACGGAAACTGCCCCTGTCGGCAGTGCACAAGCCGCTCATGGCAGTAGTCTGATCAGCCGCTGGGCTGAACGGAAATGTGATTTACGGCAAAGCACTGCGGCCAGAGACAAAGCTGAAATCGATAGTGTTGATGAAGGAAACCACATCGCAAGGGAAGGCTCACACTGCCCGATGTCACCTAGCGTTGACCAAGAAGAGCAGTCTCCAAATGAAGAGTCAGCTGAGGTTTCCGATCGCGTAGCGGATTTTCGGGCACGACTTAAGGAGTTAAAGGATAGAAAGGCTGATGAAACTACGGATAATAAACCTGCACCAACTCAGACCCCTTCCTCGGAACCACTGATCCCCGCTTTAGCTCCTCCAGCTCGTATAACGGATACCAACTCTAACAAAGTTTACCCTTCCTCCACAATGAAGCGGGCCGCCCCAGAAGTCGCTACCATCACGATAGGTGATCATACTGTCACGAGCATAATTGGTTCAGTACCTAAAAAACAGCGGCTTGACAGCCAACAAAACCAGAATCCATCTACACGAAAATCCACCAAGGCACCGGTACCCATACCGTCTTTTAATGGGCGGCTGACCCAAATGTTTGCCGCACAGGCGGAGCGGTCACAATCCGACAAGAAAGAAATGACGGTCACCACAGAGATGCGGGATGACCAACATTCGGACTCATCAAGTGAACATTTGTTCGTAACTGATGACTCTGGAGAAGAAAGCGATAATGATGGTACGGCCAATATACCCAAAGGAGATGGAGATCAAGAACAGTCTTCTCCGCAAGACTCGCAGACGTCTGAGGTAAACCTTGACGAGGATTCGGAGGCTGAGCCAACCTCTTCAGCGAACCCCAGTGATGCTGAATACAGAGACACTGGATTTGAGGAAGGGAAAGAAGAAAGTGAAAGTAGAGAAATCATTAAAACTGCTCAGGTTCTCGAAGAAACAGTCTCGGATGAGTCACAGAAACGAACCCAAAGTTTTGTTAAAGGTAGTACTAAGAGGAAAGAAGCCACTTACCATCTTCAGCAAACATTGCGTGTAGATGGAAAGGTTATTCGCAATTCTTTAATTTTGCAGCAAGACCACATCTCTCGTACTGTTTCTAGCCCAGGGGCTATGCTAGAAACTGATCGCCTTGATGCCGAAGACGCTGAAGAGAAGCTTTCCTTGACTATATCAAAATCAGACTTTGAGGGGATGAAGATTGTCGGGCAATTCAATCTGGGGTTCATCTTAGCCTCCCGCGTAGCTGAGACATGTTCCGCAGACACGCTAGACAGGAACGATAGGGACGACGAGCTATTTATTATTGATCAGCATGCAACAGACGAGAAGTACAACTTCGAACGGCTACAGGCCAGTACCGTCGTACAGTCCCAGAGACTAGTGCACCCCAAGATGCTTGAGCTCACAGCCGTAGAAGAAGACATAGTGCAACAAAATATCGACGCTCTAGAAACAAACGGATTTATCGTCGACTTCGACGATAGCGGTGACAAGCCCGTCGGTACCCGGTGTCAGTTGCTTAGTTTGCCACTGAGTCGGGAAACTACTTTCTCCCTCGCGGACCTGGAAGAGCTCATCTCGCTCCTCCAAGATCACCAATCCACGTCAGCGAGTACGGTGCCACGGCCGTCCAAGGTTCGCAAGATGTTCGCGATGCGGGCTTGTCGAAGCAGTGTGATGATTGGGAAATCCCTATCAACCAAGCAGATGGAGAAGCTTGTCCGACATATGGGCGAACTAGACAAGCCATGGAACTGCCCACATGGGCGGCCAACTATGAGGCACCTGTGCGGCTTAGGGGCATGGGATAATTTGGGCTGGAAAGAAGGCGATAGCCTCGATGGAAATAAGGCATTGCCTATAAATTGGAATGCCTATCTTCACGAAGGGCGGGATCTAGAATAGGAACAATATCATACTACAACTTCTGTTTGTATTGCTTAGGATTGAGCTTGGTAGGGCACATATTTGTTACTGTATGGATATATACCTTTCAGCACTACAACATCGAGCTTTAGACTTGTTAGACAGATAATAACTACTTTTTCATAATGGTACCACCAGACACTGTTAGTTGTTGGAGGCAGACCATGAAATGAACTTCATTGCCTTAATTAATTAACAGGAAGTGATGACGACGCCTGGGAAAGTGGGTTTCAGAACAATACTACAGGGATCGGTCTCTTGGCTTCACCGAGGTCCATTCCAGCTCGGTATCCTACGACGTAGGGTTTACGATTGTTGAAGCAAGATTCACAGATTACTAGTACTTCGTAATCACACGATTAGTTGAACAGCAATTGTAAATGTTTAGATAGGCCGGAGACTGTTATGTGGTTGTAAGAGAAGTGTCCCGATTGCTTAACCCGCCCGGGCTAACTAGCCCGTAATAACCACGGTCGATATTGGGAACGGTGTTAACGAAAGCGGTAACATGGCTCCCACTTATATCCGTTAGTCTAAACTCCAGACTAAGATAATACCGGGATACAGAACGTCGAAGGATCTAATCGGTATGTAGCCAGTTGAGGCCGTTGTATCAGCGCTAGGTGTAATTGACACCCGGCCTGCACACATTGATTACTCAGATGAAGATCCAGGGTGCCCCTGAGTCTTCCTATTCATCGACTATAAAACGAGAGCTCCGGTCCAAGAACTGATGGATAGTAGAACATCAATGCCAAGTAGATATCATCTTCACTCTTGAGCTCAAGATCTAGCTTCGCTTACATCTATATCTCTGCGCCGTCCACGTACACAGCTTCACTCTCCCGTTGATTCTTCAGCTATAATTATCCACCATGTCTTCCAACGCCAACCTCAAGCCCATCACTCTCTGGGGACACAACATTGGTCCCAACCCCATCAAAGTACGCATGATACTCGAAGAGCTTGACTTACCCTTTGAGTTCAAAACTCTCGAGTTCCAAGAGATAAAGGGGGAGGCGTTCCTCAAGCTTAACCCCAATGGTCGCGTGCCCGCCATCGAAGACCCAAACACAGGCCTCGTGCTCTGGGAGTCCGGCCCCATCGTCGAGTATCTCGTCGAGCAGTACGACAAGGACCACAAGATCTCGTACGCCACCTTTCCCGAGAAGTACCATATCAAGCAGTGGATCGGGTACCAGATCTCCGGTCAGTAGTTCTCTCTCTCCCCTCCCCTTCTCCCTATTATCCTCGCCAGCATGACGGCTGCCGCTGCATCACTCCTCGCCATTAATCGATACCCGCGGCTAACATGACTTCATTCGGTGGCGTAGGCCAGGGCCCGTACTACGGCCAGGGCGTCTGGTTCGCTTTCTTCCACCACGAGAAGCTGCCCTCGGCCGTCGAGCGGTACTTCAAGGAGGCCGAGCGCGTGCGCTCGGTGCTGGACCTGCACCTCTCGCGCCAGGCGGGCGAGAAGCAGGGCGCGAAGGTCGCTACCAAGGACGTCTGGCTCGTCGGCGACAAGATGACCGTCGCGGACCTCAGCTGGTTCATCTGGGAGCAGATCATCAAGTTCACGATGATTCGGGCCGGCGTTCCGATTGAAGAGGTGTGTATCCCCTCCCTTATTCTACCCTCAACTATTTATATATTCATTCTTCTGTCCCCTTTTTTCTGGTAGTTTGGGTCTGCTGACGTGGGAATAACTAGGGCAAGTACCCTCATTACGATGCCTGGTACAAGAAGCTCGAGGAGCGTCCTAGCGCGCAGCGCGCTATCGAAACTAGGAACGAAGGCCTGAAGAGCATCCAGCTGCCCCCACAGGCTGCTCAGAAGACGGAGGAGGAGAGTAAGTAGTAGCTGACTCGCGACGCCAATCATCTAAATAAGGGCACTATAAAGCCCTAACCGGTGGAAGCAAAAAGGTAGTAGTAAAAAACGGGAAGCTAGTTACGGTGCTAGGCTTAGGGCATGTGCTAGATGAAATGTATGTGCTATCAAGCTAGGATTTACTAGTATTATATTCATAACTTTCTCCTAGAGCAAACAGAGTGGTCTCTCGAGTCTTGGGCTATTTTAACTGAGCATGACATGACACAATATCCTTAGCAGCGGCTTTGGCCTGCATTGGTATGATGCAATGAACGTCCCCGATATAACCCTAAGAAAACACATGTGATCGTGTACATGGTGGGCGAGCGAGAGTGCGAATCTAAAATGATGCAAGTCGAAATAAAGGGGGCGAGGAGTTGCACTCTCTCAGTAGCCAACGTCAACAACATTGTTAAATATTAAGGTAGTATATAAGCTTTATCACATTATCACGTGAAAGCAAGAGTATTTGATGTACCTGTAACTTCATCAACTCTGGGGGAACGAAAGTTCCATACTATAGTCATTTAAATCATTTCGTTCACTTTATCTCCTTGCCCCAATATATAATAGCGAGTGTGGGGAGAATTAGAGGACACCGGATTTAAGGAGGTTGTCGCTGCTTTTATTTCCGAAATCCCCGGGATTACCCCACTTCTTTGTTATGTACACCATCTCGAACTATTGGTGACCGGCGTTCGTGGCAAAGAAGAATTCAGTTTGAACAGTGTCGGTTATGCTATGATTGGGCCTGTAGCTCAGGGGTAGAGCGCTCGCTTTGCATTTCCTCTGAGAAATATGCGAGAGGCCTAGGGTTCAAATCCCTACCGGTCCAAACTTTTGCCAACGACGTGTACTGCATTTTTGCTTGATTACCTTTTTTTTTTTTTCTCTTTCCTCTCTTTAGTTAATGTATTGTCAGGATGCGTACCGGGTCATATCTATTCTCTTCACAATTGAATGTAGCGCGGCTACCATAATAATTGGTTTTTATCATATCATTTATTGTATGAACAAGGGGGTGGTATAAGAGGTACCTAACTAAGGTATGTCTGTGCAGTTATCTACCAGTTGTTCATCATGATATGATGCAGTAGTACCCGATCTACCTAGGTAGGTTCTATGTTGTTTTCCTAATGTATTGGGCTTCACTTAATTACGTATGTCTTCAAGATAACCTGGTTAATCAATCGGCAGTGCCCAATGCATACCACGTTGCTCCTAGTCGGGCTAGGATCTTCTCGGTGAGATACCGTGATAGTAAATGCATGAGTGGAATGGTGTCTTGTTTACACACCAAACATTAGCGTTAAAGGCAGCCAATGAACTATCATGAGTTGGTAACAAGTGACCGCCAAATGGAACCTTGGATAATAGATAGCGACAGTACTACCGGTGCCAATTGAGCCGGACTTGCTCTATCTGGGTACCCAGAGATAATCTAGATGGTCTCCGCTACAAGGGTCTGTCCACAGAGCTCGTACAGAACCAACAACACGCATACATACAGGATACACCGACAAGCCATGGCCAGATTCATCGGCAGCCCCTTTACTCACTCACGTAATATGATCCAAACTATCGATTCTAACTGGCAGGGCTCAATATCACTTGGTTTTTTTTCTTTTGGCCTTCTAAAGAATACCGGTCTTTGGGTATAAGTGTACTATTTCCTCGAATAACTCTTGTTAGCTAGCAGCATAGTCTAATCTACGGGCTACTAGATTAGTTAGCTGCGAGGAACAAGTCGTGACCTAAAACATATACTCACCAGCAACAAACACCTTGCTACTAATACCTAATCTCGTATCGCATTGCCATTAGCCTTCCCATACCTACGATGGCGCCCCACAGCCTGCAAGACGAAGGTCCCACGGACCTGGAGCAGAAGCTAGACGATGATGAAATCCGGCCGCCATCCCCACCCCCGATGTCCGCAGCGCCTCCGCGGCTGCTCGTCATCGGCGCCGGGTCTCGCGGGCGCACCTATGCTAGATGCTCTCTCCAATCGAGCAACGGCGTCGTCGTCGCCATCGCCGAACCCGACGACTACAAGCGTCAAGATTTCGGGGCGAAGTTCATCTGGGGTAGGACGACGCCGCCGGCAGAAGGGTCGAGTTTCGGGGGTTGGAAAGAATACGTTGCGTGGGAGACAGATCGCCGCGAACGACAGAAGTCGGGCGAGGCCGTTCCGGAAGGCGTCGATGCGGCCTTTATCTGCGTGCGAGATGAAATGCATCGCGATGTGATCATGGCCCTCGCGCCGCTGGGCCTCCATATCATGTGCGAGAAGCCGCTCGCAACCACACTGAACGACTGCACTGACATATATCGCACGCTGGCGCCACTGCAGACCACCAAAGTGTTCTCCATTGGACATGTCATGCGCTACTCACCCCACAACATGATGCTGCGCAAGCTACTGCTCGAAGACAACGCCATTGGCGACATACTGAGCGTGCACCATACGGAACCGGTTGGGTTCTGGCATTTTTCGCATAGCTATGTGCGAGGCAATTGGCGAAAGGAGTCCATCACAGCCCCGTCGCTACTCACCAAGAGCTGCCATGACATCGACATCCTCTTGTGGCTCATGTGTTCTCCTGCGCCCGGACCAGATGCCCCTGAGCATCTGCCAACATCTGTCACATCCACTGGCTCCTTGCAGTTCTTCAGAAAGGGCAGGAAACCTAGAGCAGCAGGTGCTGCGACCAACTGTCTCAGTTGCCCTGCCGAGAATGAATGCCTGTACTCCAGCAAGCGGATCTACGTAGGCTCGAAACACAGTGGATTGGAAACTGGCAATATGAGATGGCCTATCAGCATCGTTCTTCCGGACATAGAGAGCTTCGGCAGCGATACAGACGGGGCGAAAGCGGCGTTGCTCTCAAAACTCGCCGAAGACTACGACGGCTCGACACCACAGGAGGTGATCGACAGCAAGAACTGGTTTGGCCGCTGCGTGTTCGAGTCGGATAATGACGTATGCGACGAGCAGGTCGTGGTGATGACCTGGGATGACGACCCGCTCCCGGGCTCCAGCGCGTCGGCGAAGGACGCCCTGGGCGCGCGAGGTGCTAAGCAGGCGACGTTCCACATGATCGCGCAGACGAAGAAGCAATGCCAGAGATACACCTACGTCTACGGCACAGAGGGCGAGATCTACGCGGACTCCAAGACCATCACGATAGAGGATTTCCACACGGGTGAGACGAAGACGTACAAGCCCAAATTAGAAAGCCTGGGGCACGGTGGCGGCGACCACGGACTCACAAGGCAGTTCGTGCTTGCGGTCGACAGGGTCAAGAACAGCGGGTGGAAGGCGGAGACTGCGCAGCGCGAGTTCATCGGGTGTAGTCTGGAGGAGATCATTCGCAGTCACGCGATGGTGTTTGCTGCCGAGGAGGCTAGGAGGGACGGGAAAACTGTTGATTGGAAGGGCTGGTGGGAAGCGAACATTGGCACGATCTAAGCTCTGGGGGCTGCAGCGCATGCCTGGGTTTCGTAGGAAATACCAGGTATATGGCGGCCACAGCCACAGCCACATGCCATCCTCACCATGCCTTCGGATCCTACCATCCTACCTAATAGCGAAGGTTGTCGCGATAGGTAGGTAGTTTGTGCTGCTGAAATTAGAAGCCCACCCTTAAATATAACCCCCTACACTAGTGTACATAAACTGCAGCTCGGGGCGTGCCGCGAGGTCGCATTAACGGTGCTATGTAGTCCAAAACTACGAGAGCGCTTAACTCAAGGGTCCATCTTATATCCCTACAACTCAACTCATTCGATGTCCCTTTGAGCCCATCTGAGATGCACAAACAATTCGCAATAGATAATACAGAGTACATCAAGTCTAAGTGCGGTTGAAATCGGTATCAGGGAATTTTTCTACCTGTGCTCTAGTTGCATTTGTCTACTCATTGATCTGCTCGCTAGTCGTAAGTATGATAAATACTATATTCCTTCGCCTTCCTTAGCGTACGGGCATCTGCGTTTAATCTGCTCCTTTGAGAAAACGTTAACACATAGTGTAGAGGTAGCGCGTGCGCTAAGACCTCGGTAGTTTCTAGTCTTGGCTTAAAGTTAAACTTCTGCACCCTTGGAGGGCGGCTGGAAACGACAAGCGACGCTTGACCCGTACAAATATGGATGAGAAGAGCTGCCAGAAACAGAAGTTAAACAGTCTAACCGATGCCTACAAATTCGCTAGCTAGTGCAAGAAGTCCATAGTCATTCGGCACGCGATTTACACTAGAGTGACTAGACTTAGACTCTACCTACTACTCGGTGCCGAAACCCCCAAGGCCGCTCGGGGGTTGATCATCGGGCATACGGAAACCCGGGCCAGCTTGCCATGTGCCCCTAGACAATATAATCGACATTTGGTCTAGGTACTCCCCGGAAGGGAGCTGATATATACTCGACAACTGCTCTCTTCCCGGGGAAACTTCGATTATTGACAGTAGGTGTCGTCACATCAAGCTTCAACGTTACCACCGAGTCGAATGATGCACCCCGCCGAGCACAATGGCACGTAGGATTCGGTAAGTATTATTAGCTTGAAACGGAAGAGGGATGTCGACCTACCTTCCCTCTTAGGAAGCTCACCGCTGTCAACTACGCTCCTACGTGCGCTGCCAAAGGCAGTGGATCGTCGTCGACTTTGTAAATAAGAAGGCCCGTCGCCAGCCACGATCTCCTAGTAGAGCCAGGTCGATCGGTCCAGGCATCCCGAGCTGCACATCAGACACCATGAAGTCGTTTCTCTCCCTCTCCGCCCTCCTGTCCCTGGCGTCAGCCCAGAGCCTCTGTGGCCAGTACAGCTACTACTCGGCCAACGGCTACTACTTCAACAACAACGCGTGGGGCCAGAGCGCCGGGACCGGCAGCCAGTGCACCTACGTCGACATCCTGCTGAACCCGGGCGTGCAGTGGCACGCGGACTGGAACTGGGCCGGCGGCGACAACAACGTCAAGAGCTTCCCCTACTCGGGCCGCGTGCTGTCGAGCAAGAAGCTGCTCAGCAACATCGGCAGCATCCCGACGAAGGCCCAGTGGCGATACCTCGGGGACAACCTCCGCGCCGACATTGCCTACGACTTGTTCACGGCCGCAGACCCGAACCACGACACCAGCAGCGGAGACTACGAGCTCATGGTCTGGTAAGAATGCCTCATCTCCTTATCCCCCGTCGAAGAATGCAAGCCTATGAATAGGTATACTTGCTAGGGGCTGTGAGGGCTGACTAGAGATCGACAGGCTCGGAACAAGGGGCGGTGTCCAACCCATTGGTAGCTCTGTGGGAAACGTCAATGTTGGCGGACTCACCTGGAACTTGTGGATTGGATACAACGGACCGATGAAGGTATTCAGCTTCGTCGCACCCGCCGATATCGCCACCTTCGAGTCCGATCTCAAGCCCTTCTTCACCTACATCACCAACACCCAGGGATTCCCCGCCTCCCAGCAGAACCTCATCAGTAAGTCCTCCTCGCTCGTCATTTTCTACTACTTCTTCTATAATATGGTATGGTGAGAATTGAGCTAATTCTAACTTTGTTTATAGCCGTCCAATTCGGTTCCGAACCGTTCACCGGCAGCAATGCCGAGTTTGATGTCTGGTACTGGTACGCCGAAGTCAACTAAAGTAGTCCAGGACATCCTTTAAGTCTAGGTACTTGGCGTTAAATGTATATAAGTTGTAGCTGAGGAAGTCATTATTGTATCCATAACTGAAACCCCGAGAACACTTATTGTTCAGTCAATAATAACTTCTTCATCACCCCACATGTATGGATAATCAATCATGTTGCTAGAACCATTTTCTATTAT